ATGGATTTCTTCGTCCGTTAACTTTGAAAATTTCACTCGCGACATCGTACACCGGTTTAATAATAGTATATTTGTATTCACTTTATGAAAACAAGTTATGAAATAAAAGTAAAACCGACTATAAAGAGCACTTTTTAAATCAATGTATATAAAAGTTCGCGCGGAACGACAACAGCACTCTGCAAATCAATGTAAATAAAAGTACGCGCGGACCGGCAACACTGCCCTGAGGCACTCATTAGTTTTTGCACTGCTGGGCGGAAAATTCCACTTTTTTTTTAACTTTTTATATAAAATCAGCAAGTTAATGAGCACAGCTTTACGAAAAAAAATTATCGAGCTCAGCGGACTTCTCAAACATAAAAAGTTTTGATATTGAAAATAATAAATTTCTTTATAAAAAAAAACGACCTTTTTCTCGACCTGTTCGCACAAAACTGAGTATAGAAGACAAACGGTCCAACGGATTTTATTTCAACTTGAGAAAGAAATTTCCCTAGAAATATGGGAGAGAGAGTTACATTCATTTTTTTAAGAAAAAATAATTTTTTCATACGGAGATCTTGATTTTTGTGATGCCTGCCCTGAGGCCGTCTTACCGGTTAGAGGGTTAAACTTAACTACACAAATTTCTATAGATTTTCTTAGTGTTCACATTTACAGTTTACACATAAAATGTTTAAAATTTGCTCTAAAAGTATTTTGTTTTAATTAACGCATATTAAGAGAGGTTACCAGTTTCCTCTCCTAATGTGTGCAAATTTAGACACCGTGTTAATAAAACTAAACACTTCCTATTAACTTTTGCATGCCAAATTTGTCGCATAGAGCAAAATTGCACATAAAATGTACTTAATTTTTATTTTTAGTAGGGAATGTATCTTTGCGTTAAAAACGTTTGCAGTTTTAAACATTTCATGTGTATATTTAAAACATCTCATGTTCAAAAATCCTGTCTTGAACATCTTATGCGTATACTTACACAGATTTTGTTTGAAAATAAACACTTTTCAGTAGCAGGTTTACATGCAGTTTTTAAAGTGTATAAATAAATTGCGGAACGAACACTGAAGCAGCGCTGGCGGTAAAAAAAAACGGCACTGTCTCGGACGGTCTGAACAACTCTATTTGGGACTGTGGCAACGATATTATATTTTTCGCTCACACTGATAGGTACGGCATTGATATGTTTAGTTAGACCTTTATTGTAAAAATCACCTATATAATTGATTTGAGGTCGATAAATAAACGCCGATCTAATTCCGATTGCAGGCATCGTTTATATTCGCGCCGCCGCTACTATTCCCCGATTACGGGCCATTGCCCTTGCGGCTCTCGTTTGTCTTGACAAATTTCTTTTAGCTTTAGGCATTTTTAAACGCTTCGCACTATTCGGTCATATTAAAGATTTTTTTGTATATTTAGTATCGAACTTCCACTTTGTAAATGCATCCCTGATTCGCTGTTGTTTGTGCATGCCACTACTGCGTTGGAAAATAGGAATTCGGCTAGACAGAGGAAGGTGTCCCATAAAAAACAGGGCTTAATTACTTTACCATATCAATTCTAATTTGAACATACTTATGTACATATGTATGTATGCATGTATTAAAATCTAATTGGATTGATTGAGTGATGATCTGTTGAACTAAAATGGTTGAGTTTTGTTTTGTGCAGAATTTGCATGAAGCGAAACAGACATTTCTTTGTGTTATTTATTCTGCATGCTACTACAGCGATGTAAAATTAAGTTTCTGCCGCGCAGCGCCAACTTTTTTCACGAACTTTATCTTTATGAAATAAAGGAAAAGCTGAAGATCAATGTATGTACATATGTATGCCACACCAAGACGCTTACGGTGAGCATGTGCCGATATCGCAGCAAGCAGCATTTTGAAGTAAAAAAAAACAAAAACAGCTTCCAAACGAAATACACGATGTACAGTTTTTATTTGTTTTGAACGCAGCACTGCTTGTAGATACATAAATTTCGCTTTGGGCGCAGCGCTGCTTCTACATTAATTTCGCTTTGCGCATGCGTGAAGCTGGCAAAGGTTCTTTTTTACCTTTCTTTTATTAGCTCGGGATGTAGCTATGTAATATTGATGCGCCTGAAAGATGCAGCGATTTATATTCTCAAGTTACATACCTGATGACAGTGCGAATGGCAATTATAACAGGGAGGTTTTAGTTTTTTAAACTATAATTTTATTAATTTTGCGCTATGCTAGCTGAGTATAAAAAGAGAAGAAAATAGAGAGAAATAGAGAGAAATATATATGTGGTTTGTTGATGCTCTCTAAACACAAACGCGTGAAAGGCAAACGGTCTAGCAATGCGTGGTATTGTTGATCAACTTAATACTTTAATTAAACATACTTATTATTAAAATTTCGTTATACAGTATCCTACTGTGGTAGAAATATGTCATTTTAAAACTTGAGTCATAGAAATCGACCCAAAACATCGGCTGTTTTGCTCTCACGTTTTTTTGGGTTTTAATTTTATATATAGTATAGATTGCTCTCACCCTCTTCGCTGAGTGTATGAAAGATACCTTCCCAATGCAAAGAGAGTATTTTAATAATTTGGAAGTTATACACTCCATTGCCGAGATAAAAATTGAATGGCCTTACATTTTTGAAACCGATTGACTTATGCCAGCATTTTGAAGAGTTGATGGGCTTAAAGTCTGACACGTTTGCTGAAAATTTTTTAAACACAAAAGAAAAAATTTTTCTATTTTTCAAAAAATTTATTAAAAATCCGGTGGTCGATGATTCCAGTGAACGGTCAATACTCACCGGAATTGCAAAATATTTCAACGAGGACTTAGGTTTTTTGCTTTTGGATTTTGAGGTAAGGTCTCTTTCTTCACAAAAGATTGTTATGACGCAATTGACGGGCATGTATTGTTTTAATTTTCAGTTCGGATTAAAAGTGAATAGCATTGTCGCCAGGGTTCCAACAAACACACCGTTCAGTGCGTTTGTCGGTAAGTATCTTAACATATTTATTAAAAAAAGCGTATATCATTCAATCCTTTATATTTGCAGAGGATGATGCAACAGGTGGAAAAGTTGTGGCCTACATTTTAATTGAAAAAACCATAGTTAGTAAAACAGAAAATTGTAATCTCTTGCTTAACTTACAACTAGTGATAAATTTCTTTTTTGTATTAAACATAATCTATCCACGCGAAATATCGCAAACTTTAGAATTTTTAGTAGGCTTCTTTTATAAGCATTATCCCATCTATACACGTGGTAAAAAGAAAAATATTAACAGTTTGCAAAAAGTTAATAGTTTCATAAGCAAAATTACAGCTTTTGAACAATAAAAGAACCGTACTAAATATTTTATTTATTAACTCACCGTTGTATCATAGTTTTTCTTACAAACTTTTGTCTGAACGTGTCTTTTAATAGTGCTACATATTTGCTTAATCAAAACAAACTTGCACATACATACACCGTGACTCAAACAAGTGTTCACATGTTGATATTTTTTAATATTCACAATGTTTTTCAAGTGAACAGTTTTTGGTTATTATTATTTTTTTATATTATTCAGGCTTTAACTAAAACCATATAAATCAATATTTCACACTTTATATAAAATTCAACATATTTTTTTTTAATTTTAAGCGGCTAAATATCTTAATAAGTTTTATTGCTGACTTTGATTTTTTGAAATTTTGTTTACGAACGGTCTTGCGCATTATATTCCATAACTAATTCATGTTTATACGTATGGATAAAAGTGGAAAAATCCATCAGCAAAAAAAAAATATTAAAAATAATCGTAATTTTTTAGACGCTTAAAATTTGCCCTTTATTATATTAAAAGTTGATGAGCTATAGAACTGCTTATCCAAAAATGTTCTAGCTATTAAGATTAAAAAGTTCGAAACTTTGATGAAAACGTTTTGCATTTCGTATAAAGCTTGATACTTTGACTTATATACAAACATACACCCCGTGTCATGGTTATTAGCGCACTACATATTCATAAGTTTGAACCATTTATATTTTTGTTATTTAATTTTAGTTATTTTTTTAATAAAAATATAGTTTATTTTTTAACAAAAGCCGTATAAATCCAGGTTTCTTACCTAATACTGTATTTAAAATAATTCAACTTAAAAATTGAAAGCCTTTAATTAGATTTTTAGAAAAATGCAGCCCATTAAATTTTATTACGTGTGCCAGTGCAAGTTTTAAGCGGCTGGGGCTTTCCGTTGATTTTTGGCTATTATTTTGGTTGAAGATGCCGCTCATTTTGTTCCACATAAAAAAAACTCGCACCTACTTTGCATGGAATTCACCACACTGCCAGCAAAAAAATTACCAAAATTCAACAGTAAGCCCTAGCCACTTCAACATGCACTTTATTATATTAAAACTGAAAGGGCTGTAAAGCTACATACTCAACATTTTTCTAAAAAATCTAATTAAAGGGTCGAATTTTTTAAGAAAGTATGTTGATTTTTTTTAAATATTGCATTAGGTTAGAAACATGGATTTATACGATTTTTATTGAAGAATAAATTTTATCTTTATAAAAACAACTTGTAGTATACGTATATAAATAAACATGTTAAACCTCAAAATAGCGATATTAAACATAAGCGTAAATATGTATTATTTTGTATTTTTATATATTAACAAGTAAATGTATCTGGCCACACTGTTTAAATTGTAGTCCACAGCTTACCGTCCACTATGTAACTTGAATATCCACAACTTTTCAATTCATGTTTCACATTAGCTGATCTTTCGCCTATAAAAAGCGTGCTCCTCTGGGCGTTCGTCTCATTTGGCTGAAGGCGTCCGCTCAAGAGGTTTTTACCCTGTACTCGCACTTACGCTATAAATACACCACCTTTCACTAAAACCTTCGGTTCTTTTTATTTATAATTGGCGCCCAACATCGTGGCAAACCTTTTGAGTAATACGCCAAATTCGATTCGCCGAAGCGAACGCATTAAATCCAAACCAATGACTACGTTCACAAACGAACAATTTGAGAGGCTGATGCAAGCGGTGGGTCAAGTAAATGAAAGGCCTGGCTCGTTTAGCCGCTGCACTGCTCGTTATACTGGTGAGCGCAGCTCCGCGAAAGTTGAGGAGTTTATTGCTGCTATTATGACTTTTAAAACAGTCGAAAAAATAAGCGATGCCGACGCAATAAGCGGTATGCCAATGGTACTCGAGGGCGACGCAGCAGAATGGTGGCGTGGCGTGAAGTCAAAAGCCAATGCTTTTTCTGACGAAATACGCATGCTGCGTGAAGCGTTTTCCCCTCCGAAACCATCTTGGCGTATTTATGTTGAGATATTCGAATCAAAACAGCAGAAAAATGAGGCAACTGATACCTTTATCCGTAGGAAACGCTATTTTCCCAACTGACTAATGAGCCAGCTGAAGCTGACCAAATTGATCTTTTGTTTGGGTTGTTACACATCCAAATTCGTGACAAGGTAAGCCGACAGAGAGTTCAAGGTTTTGATGACTTGCTAAAGGAAGCTAGAGAAGCTGAATTATACCTGCAAGAACGCAAAACGCATGCTGTGAACACGGATGATACTCAAAAATCGAGTGGTCCAGCGCGTTGCGGATTTTGCCGCAAAAAGGGACATAGTTCCGAAATGTGTTTCAAAAAGAAAAACAGTGAAGCCCAGGAAGCGCATGCCGCAAAGCTAGCGCAAGCACAATCCCTAAGGCCTAAATTCGCTTGCTATGGTTGCAATGCGCTGGGGGTAACTCGCGCGAACTGCCCCAATTGCATTAAAACAGAGGTAGCGAAACCAAACACAGTGAGCTTCAATTCATTAAATGCTACAAATGGTCAAGAAATCCCAAGTTTCAACTCTTTGAATTCATTGAGTGCTACAATTGGTCGAGAAATACCAATTGCTAATATACAAATATTTGGAGTACCGGGTCAAGCATACTTTGACTCAGGAACGCGAACAAGTGTTGCTAGTGCTAACCTAAAACGCATAATGGATTTTAAAGGCTATGTGTTCAAGAGCGTTAGATGTGAGATAACTCTGGCCGATGGCAGTACCTCCCTCGAAAGGTGCTTGTCAACAGTATGTAAGATAACCATAGATGGACGCACTCTGGACATACATTTCATTGTTTTGCCAAATGCGAAAAATAATAGAACCTTGGTTGGCGCAGATTTCATGGAACAGGCAGGGATTGTTTTGAATATGGGTCAGCGTTATTGGTATTTCGAAAATGAGCCAACAGAGCACTTTGATTTTGCCGATCCGCTACCGCTTGAATTAAATCTCGTTGAGAGAGTGAAAGTAAGCGACCCTATTAGCAAACGAAAGCAAGAAGATGAATGGGTAAAGGAGGCAGTGCAAGCGAAAGTTTATATGTCCGAATTTGAATATTATGGAGCAGAAGTTCCGAATACCTATTCGCCGCATTCGATTCAGGACATTTTTAGGGATTCTATTCCACCAAACGAGATTACACCCGAAAGAAGTTATGGTGCTGGATTATTTAATGGTGCCATCAACAAACAACGCTCAACAGATTTGCTTACTATCGACTTCCGGTTCCTTAAGAAACTGATGGGGCCGAGTTAACAGAAACTCAGAAAGCACAACTTAATGAAACATTACAAGCACATCCTAGCATTTTTGGTGCATCACATGAGCCTACTCCCTATGCTCAACATTTTATAGACACTGGTAACCATGAACCCGTTGCACTTCCACCATATCGGCTATCCTTCCCAAAGCTTCAAGAGTTGAAGAGCGAAATACATAAAATGACTGAGAACGATATTATCGAAGAATGTGATTCAGCGTGGTCATCACCGGTTGTTATGGTACCAAAAAGGGATGGAAGCACACGCGTCTGTGTAGATTACCGGAGGTTGAACGCAATAACGAAGCCCGACAGGTATCCACTACCCCGTATGGACGACTTGTTACATGCCGCTAAAAGTACCAAGTTCATGACAACTCTGGATTTACAATGTGGGTATTTTCAAATCGCTGTTGCGGAAAAAGACCGCGATAAGACATGTCTCATTACGCCGTTTGGTACCTACCGCTTCAAGCGTATGCCTTTCGGCCTTCGGAACGCTCCGGAAACATTTCAACGCTTGATTGACCGTTTTAAGACAGCGTTACCAAATATTCAAATCCTTGCGTATCTTGACGATAATATTATTTGCTCACATTCATTTCTAAATCATTTAAAAGACCTGCACATAGTATTTGAGAAGCTTGAAAAGTTCAAACTGGGCGTTAACAATGCTAAATGCCGTTTTTGCTGCGCCAGTGTGAAGTACCTTGGACATGTTCTCACAGCCGAGGGTATCAAAGTTGACCCAGAGAAAACGATGACAATTGCAGAACGAAGGGCGCCCCGAAACATTAAAGAACTGGTGTCTTTTATTCAAACTTGCTCGTGGTACCGGCGATTTATTGATCAGTACGCGAAAATTGCCAAGCCGGTTACAGACCTCACCAAGAAAAATGCTGTTTGGCAATGGCGCGAACCGCAGATTGAAGCATTCAATAAACTAAAAGAAATGCTGGTGAATCCACCAATCCTGAAGCAAGCCGAAGATAACGTATCCTTTATGATTAAAACTGATGCAAGCGCGTATGCACTAGGAGCAGTACTGCTGCAGGGGGAGAGAGACCAGGAGCATCCTATTGAGTATGCAAGCCGTTTGTTGACTCCAGCTGAGCGTAACTACTCAACGACGTAACGGGAAGCACTTGCCATAGTATGGGCATGCGCCAAGTTTAGAGGGTACATCGAAGGCGCTGAAGTGCATCTAGTGACGGATAACCAACCACTTAAATGGTTGCTAACCATGAAATCACCGTCTGGTCGTTTAGCAAGATGGGCGCTTCAAATCCAACAGTACAATTTTAAAATTGACTATACGCCTGGGAAGAGTAACTCGGTAGGTGATATGCTTTCACGACCATCATGTCCCGAAAACAGCCATAGCACTCCGAACTGTATTTCTACGTTCCAAGTGGACTTACCACGGAAGAAGCCAAGCGAGTTGAGAAATGAGCAACTTAAAGACGAATATATGAAGAAAATAATAAACTCTATAGAAGAGAACGATGAAAACGTCACTTTATGGTATAATCGTGGGTATCTCTTGAATGATGGTGTACTCTACTGCTACGCTAACGATGGTGCTGAAGACGCACAATTGGTAATTCCTCATCATGAACGCGCACAAGTTTTGAAAACATACCATGACGAAACCACCGCAGGTCATTACGGAGCGGAGAAGACAATCGCACGAATCGCAAGCCGATACTTCTGGCCAGGGATGCGCACCGAAGTCACCAAGTACGTACGAAAGTGCATCGAGTGTCAACGCTACAAAGCATCAAGCATGAAGCCGATGGGCTTATTACAAACCACTTCAAGTAAGCACCGCTTCGAGGTAGTCGCTGTAGATCTTTTTGGGCCACTTCCCAAGACTGATGAAGGGTACCAATGGATACTCATAGCGGAAGATGTTGCTAGTCGATGGGTTGAAATATTTCCCTTGAAAGAAGCAACTGCTGAAATGTGTGCTAAAACGTTAATAAACGAGTTGTTTTTCCGATTTGGGGTCCCCAGGCGGCTTAAATCTGACAATGGCGTTCAATTTGTATCGTCTGTCATGCAACAAATTGCATACTGTATGGGCATTAATCAGGTTTTTACTCCCTTATACCACCCTGAATCGAATCCAGTAGAGCGCAAGAACAGAGACCTTAAAGCTCAGTTAGCTATTCTAGTTCAAAATCAACATAATGTTTGGGATATTGGTATACCCGCTATTCGCTTTGCAATGAATTCTGCTAAATGTCAATCGACAGGCTACTCAGCAGCATATCTCACTTTCGGACGAGAGCTACGCACTTTTGACGATATAGAGCATGATGTTCGAGCCATTATCGAAAGTGATAACTTCATCCCTCAAATTAACCCATATCTGAACAACATGGTAGAAGGTTTTAAGAATGCGAGAGAGGCAGAACAATTGATGCAAGACCGTAATAAAGCTTACGCCGACAAACACCGAAGACCTCAAGACGATATAGCAGTAGGAGCCGAGGTTTTAGTGACAACGTGTTCCCGTATTATATGTAACCAAATATTCTTAGATTAAATATACTTAAATTTATATGAATGAAATATTTAAAAGTTTTAAGTTTAACATTTTATTGCACATGCAAACTATGTATTATCATTATATTGACAAGCATATTCATAAAGCAGCAAAACATCGCAAAGAGCGAGCTAATATTAATGCTCTCATCAGTTCTTTATTACGCCGTCCTTCTTAGCGGCCCTTTATGTATTTGCTATATCGCTTAAGTTTGACTCTTTCACTTGGATTACGACGGCGAGCAAATAAACACGTTTTACTCTATCTAGAGTAATTTTTCTTAATACTAGAGTCTTTTCATTTGCCTGCGGTAATTAGGGTATTCATATCGCGGCATTTATATTATACGTAACTATTTT